GATTATAATTAGTGTAATACCACTCCTCCGTACAACCTTGTCTTCAGTCTGAGAGGACATGTCTGGTCTGTGCCAGTTCCTCTCAGTGTTGGTCGTCCACACAGCAGAGCACAGACAGTGTCAGGTCCTATGAAACCACAGCACAACTATCCCAGAGTAGAAAAAAAGAGCAAGAATGAAGACGACAGCAGAGAGCAGAGAGAGACAGAGATTGCCTGACATACTAAACATTACCATAATTGGCTTTTCTACATGATAGGACAGAGGAAATAATAATGTCATTTTATTTACAGCCTTCTCTCTCCTGCAACACGCACACACTCATGCACGGCGTACAGGTCAATGACACACACTGATCAGGCCTGTCTAAAGCCATCAGAGGTGAGTGGCAGCGAATGGAGCGACCAGTGACAAAGCGAAACGGCAGAGAGAAATAAGACTGCCATGCCACAGCTCCCATTTTGAAGGGCTGCTAAACGTTGCAAGGGAGCTTCCCCCCAGCTGCAACACGCGGCCTCGCGGGCTAAATCAGCAGGGTGAAAGCTGGCGGAATTGGACATTAGCACCCCAAATGAGAGTGGGATTGCCCTGTTCTCCGAGACACCATGAATAAATGAAAGTTTACAGGAGAATGTGTGGTTTTTAGTGTGCTACAGAAAAAGAAAAAAAAAAAAAAACTGGAAATTTTACTGCTACTTTGCCAACAAAAAAAACTTTAATGTAAAGTATCTAGGCTGCCAAATCTTTAAAAGAAAAATGAACGCTGAGTTAAATAAAGATGGATCTCAGCAAGTTCCACATTTTTAAAATTTCAAAACAAAAACAACAATTAAATAAAGGGCACAAGTAGGAGAACAGATACAAAAATACATTGTTGGCTAAAGGCTCTGTAATGGTTTGGGTACAAATTTTGCCATTGTCTCTTTTATATGTATATATATATATATATATAGATGAACACAGAGGTTCTATATACATTTGTGTGAGTAGTACTTATAGTTCATTCTATATATTGTTTTTCTGTTTAAGACTCATAGAACCAGCAGTGACCAAAGACTTGAGCAACAGCCTGAGTAAAATCTAGGTTGTGGTACTGTTTATATCACATTGGAGCTTTAACAGATTCCTACCTTTCTGAGGAAGGGATGGAATGTGGGTGTGTGTGTGTGTGTATGTGTATGTGTGTGTGTGGGCGGGGGGGTGTTTGTGACAGATAGAGACCAGGGGATGTCCTACTGTGGTGTCACCTGTCTGCAGCAGGACATCCTGGACCCTGGGCACAACAATAGTGACAGGCTCCTCTCCAGACGCAGATGGCTTCGCTTTCCCCCTCCCTCACCAGCCTCGGTGCATCCATGCTTGCACCTGACACACAGTGACACTTGACACACAAAAATACACGACGACAGCAGACCAGAACACACTAACACCAACTCCCTTTACAAAAATTCAACTTACACACACACACACTCACACAGCGGAAATTTAACCCACTGTTCTTTGCTGTTCTGATTAGTTTAGTACATTCTCCTCAGCTTGTTTAATTGTCATGTTTCTCACACATGTACAAGTCTATTTAAAAACATGTGGTACTCTTTTTTTATATTGGTAATTTAAGCCATTGGTAGTAGGGAAATAGATAATGTAACTGTTATATTTTTACATTAACAAAAAAGTTAAAAAGCCAGAAAAAAAAAAAGAAAATCTCACTTAAATAAAAGTTCTACAGTTGGAGTATCAGGATTGGTTGTAAAAGAAGTGACCACCAGGACTTTAGTCTTTTCAAACAAGGATCACTTCAGTCTCACCAAAGTTCTTTGAATAATTGAAAACTATAGTTGTCAACACAAAACAGAAAACATTGTCACCAGTCACAGTATAGTTTACCAAACTATGGAAAGACAAGTGTGAAAACCGGTGCTAAATATACCGTATATTCCTCTTCCACTGCAGTATAGCCTTAGATGCTCTCGTGCCACCGTGGTGGACGTACAGTTGCCTCATGGACTCAGTAATGTTTAAGGGAGTTTGCTTTGTTGTGAAGAAGGTTTATATTTCAGCTTGTTTGTTAACTGGCTTGTCTGCAGAACAGCCGCCTTTGAAAATGTAATGAAGAAGAGACTTAGACAACAGTGATCACCGAGTGTTGAGCAGCTCAAAGCTCAGATTTCAGCAAGAATTTTCATGTAACTAATAGAATGAAGTTTGGCAGGGAAAATGATGAAAATGTTGGTCCTTGGCCTTTCATGCAATAGAAGATGTACCGACTTTCCTGTTTGAAGAAGTGCGTATACACACTGACACACACACTGACACACACACACACTGACTGGCCTAAACACATCCTTTCCCATCTTTTCAAAACTTCTCCTTCTTTACTCCTATCCTCCTTGACAGCACAAAGTGGTCTTAACGTTTTTGACTGACAACCACAACAGACAGCCACCCCACCAGCACCACCTCTCCACCCTCACCCTGTTTTAATCCCCTCCCTCCCCCTTCCTCTCCTCTCCGTCTTTTGTTCTGAGTGACGCGGAAAGCCGCCGTGTCAGCATCTTTTCCATCTCTGATTGCCTTATTAGCCGGCGGTGGCACCCGCAGCTTTTCTGACACAGATGGTGAAGAAGAGGAGGAGGAGGAGGAGGAGGTGGAGGAGGCTGTAGCAGGAGTAAGGAAGAGTAAAAAAAAAAAGGCTGACTTGTGTTTGTTGTTGTATCCCCCCCACCCCCCACCTGCACTGGGGTGTTGTTTGCGTGGACACTGACACCTGGAGCTGACACTGACACACTACTGACAATGATGGCTGTCAGAAGGAAGAGTACTGGAGTTTAGTCTACGTCTGTGCGTGTGTGTGTGTGTGTGTGTTTGTACTGCTGTCAGCTCTCTCTCACTTCAGTCTCACTTCAGGCAGCTTTATCTTTAACTGCTCACACCACATTGACTCTGAATGGGTTTAGAGTCTGCATTCTTTTCACTACAGTGTGGCTGAGACTTGATTGGAAGGAGGAGACAGGCTGAAAGAAGGCTTTTGTAGCCGCCTCGGCAAAAGGTTAAAATCTCCTGCAGTAGATGTAGTGACTACATCAAGTGAGTGATTTCAGTGTAGCCTGCGCATAATTAAGAGCTGACACTTAATTATGCACCTAAAAAGTTTAATTAACAAGAAGGAGGCTGTAGTTTTGGTTGGTACAGTACGGCTCCTCACACACACAAAGGCAGAGACAGTGAGTGAGTGCTGCAGCTGTTGGACCTCCAGCTTTGCCATGGCAGCGGTAACAGGCACCTCACAAACATCAGGTATTATGTCCACTTCTATTATGGGATGGAGAGCTACATGCTGTTTGTAGCTGACAGCACATCTGCCTCCTCACTGGAGACTGATTCTGGCACCTTATCATCTTTCAAGGGATGCTGAGCAGGCCTTTGAATATTTAACCCTCTAGTTTTCCACTCCTCTGTGATATTTCCTCTAAAAAAGTTACAGATGCTAAATGCTGTAGCACTTCGATGAAACTATAAATAGGTACAAATAATTACAGGACTTATATAACCAGACCGTGTCTAAAGTATCATCTATACCACACAAAAGTAAGGCTTGAGAAAATTGTTGCTGGAATGTGTTGTGACCAGGCAGAATAGTTAAATCAGTGTTGGGTTTCAAGGTCAAAGACAGTGTACACAGGTTTGAATTGGCTCTGGTTCTGATTTGATTCAACACGAATGTTATCATCAGTGCCAGTGCAACAGTGTCATTTTTGATAAGTCTAGGCTCATATGAGAATCAAAATATCAAATTGTTCATGGTCCAGGATAACCAATAACTGTAGTTGAACCACAATACAAATATCCCACTGAATACTTCACTTTTTGTTGACTTTGCAAAAGAGACACAAGTACAATTCTCAAACCAGTATCAATGCTGTTCTTGTTGTTTTCCACATAGACTCACTGATTTCAGTTTTTGCTGCAAATGATTTCGCAAAATTTATAAATAAGTGCATAAAAAAATTAGATAACCGTTAATACTATGCTCTCCCCCTCTCTCCCCTCTGTTGGTCTCTCCCTTTTACAAAAATGGCACACTCAACGCAGTGAGCACTCAGGGAGCACAGGCAGTAACAACACGACTTGTCATGTCCACTAGCCATTTCCTAGCATCACGCTGTGAGGACTTCTACAGCCGATGCCAAGTTAACTCCAGCCAACCATGGCTTGGCATGGTGATGCAGCTGGCATTTCCCCTCCTCTATCTCTTTTCTTGTAGATCCGTATTATCGTTGGCACGTCGAAAGAATAAAGCAAATTGAAAGCCGGGGAGGAAAAGATCTTTAGTATCACATAAGCGACAAAATAAACAATGAATCCTGAAATGCCATCGGCTGTTGGAGCATTTCAGTTTGCTGATGAGGGGAAAATGTGTGTTTGATGAATTTGCTGAAAAGCTCGCACATAGGCAGTGAATTCATCTTTTTAATTCAGTGTTTCTGCTGAGTGTATTTGGGGAAGAGGACTTCAAAAGAGACTCAGTAATCAGTCAATCAGTGAGGCATACTTCCTTTTTCTGCTTCAGTTTTCCCTTTTATTGAGACACAACATCTTAATTTCTACTGTGGAGTAAACAATCGTGCCATGTGATTTATAAGCGTCATCTTTTTGATGGTTCATTTGATGCAGGATTTTTTTTTTTTAATGTTGCTTGTTTTTATTTTTTAAACAAAACAAACATTTTTATAGCTCATCCCTGCTCTCTACACTTGCTGAGCTGCAGTGCTCAGTGGCTTCATTAGACAGTGCAGAGAAGAGGAGAATTTGTCATTGTCAAGATATGGATGTTGTCCACTTTATTATTGCAAACCCCTGGTTTTGTCTTCTGGGACTATTGACACATTTTAAAATATTACACATACCATTTACATATAAAACTGTATGAAATAATAATATGTTTATTATGTTTATTATTGTTTAAAAAAAACCCTAACCCTGAATTTATTTTTTTCCAGCTTACGGACCTGAAGATGAATTCACAGTAGACAAGTTTGATGATGAAGAACATTTGCTGGATGATGGCCTCTCATTGGACGGCCAAGATACAGACTATCTGTTTAACGAGGATGAGGATGGAAGAAATCCCTTAAGTTGCCAAAACTCTCCACTCAGCAATGGCACCAACCCAGATGCTGGGTACGGCTCCCCACTCAGCACCACCAGTGATCAACTGGTGGACCTTAAGACCACATCGTCTTTCAGTGATGGTCAGGACAAAGGAGAAGAGAAGCTGGAGGAGACCACAGAGTCCACCAATGGCCTCTCGCTCCAAGACAGTTTGGAGAAAATGAAATCAGTCTATGCAAATCTGATCTCTGACGCATCCTGGTCCAGCATCGCTTTGGACATGCTCAAGAGTAAACAAGGGACTCATTATGCAGGTGGCAACAGCATTGGGAGCAATCACAAAGGGAGCAATGGATTTGTGAACAATCACAGTCCAGGAGAAGTCCCTACAAAAAACAGATGTAGCAGCAGTAGTAACGCCTCAGCCACTACCAGTACCACCAGCAACACCACCACAAGAACTGTTCCAAGCAGCAGTAGCAGTAACGGAGGCACTAGTGTCAGTTCCGGCAACACAGGGGGTTTAGCCTATGACTGGCACCAAGCAGCACTGGCCAAAACTCTGCAGCATACTCCTTACCAACTACTTCCTGAACCAAGCCTTTTCAGCACCGTTCAGCTTTACAGGCAAAACAACAAGCTCTACGGCCCAGTGTTCACGGGGGCAAGCAAGTTCAGATGCAAGGACTGTAGCGCAGCCTACGACACATTGGTCGGCCTGACCGTGCATATGAATGAGACGGGCCATTACCGTGATGACAATAAGGACACTGAGGATGACCGAAGCAAGAAGTGGTCCAAGCCACGCAAGCGATCCTTGTTAGAGATGGAGGGCAAAGAAGATGCTCAAAAAGTCCTCAAATGCATGTACTGTGGCCATTCCTTTGAATCCCTGCAAGACCTAAGCGTCCACATGATTAAAACTAAACACTATCAGAAAGTGCCTCTAAAAGAACCAATGCCAGCACTTGCCTCAAAACTGGTCCCTCCAACCAAAAAAAGAGCATTTCCTGACTTAATGTCCCCAAGTTCTCCAGAGTCTGTGTCATCTGGAATATTCCTGGGAGATTCTCCCAAAGACCAAAAGTTGGCCAACCCCTATGTCACCCCAAACAATCGATATGGTTACCAAAACGGTGCCAGCTACACTTGGCAGTTTGAGGCACGTAAGGCACAAATTCTGAAATGCATGGAATGTGGTAGTTCCCATGATACCTTGCAACAACTGACAGCTCACATGATGGTCACAGGACACTTTCTCAAAGTGACCAACTCAGCTTCTAAAAAAGGTAAGCAGTTAGTTTTTGATCCTATTGTGGAGGAGAAGATCCAGTCAATTCCGTTGCCACCAACTACCACACGACTCCCAGCACCTAATGGGAAGTCACAGGCTGACTCTCCGTTACAGCCCTCTAGCCCTGAAGAGAGATATGAAGATAAGCATGACATAGAGATGGAGGATGTGAAAACAGAGCAGAGAGAACCAGAGAAAAAAATCAAAGAGGAAAAAGAAGATCCCTCCGAAAAGGCTGAAAAACCTGGAAAGGCGAGATCTTTTCAGTATCTGAGAGAGGAAGACTTGGAAGAAACACCCAAAGGTGGTTTGGACATTCTAAAATCATTAGAAAATACAGTTTCAAGTGCAATCAGCAAGGCCCAAACAGGTACCCCCACATGGGGTGGATACACAAGCATTCATGCTGCCTATCAGCTCCACGGCTCTTTAAAGTCTACCCTGCCGTCCTCCGCACAGGTTCAACCATTGTTCAGTAGTAACAATTTGAAAATGCTGACATCTGATTTAGGTTCCCTGATCCATTCACCCAATAGTCCCTCTTCACCTCCAAATCACAGGAGCAACGTACTGGCCATGGAGGAACTTGTAGAAAAAGTAACAGGGAAAAGTTCAGTAAAGACAGAAAAAGATGAGAAACCAGTAGAAAACAGGACCTGGTCCACAAGGTCCCCGTTATCAAATCCTAAGGATAAAGTCACCACAGAATCAAAGAAAGTAAAAGAGTCCTCAGCAGAGGAATACACTGAACTGAAAGTTAAAGAGGGAGAGCAGATCGAAAGCAAAGTTGAAAAGCAGATTAAGAGTGAATCAGATTCACCAAAAAAGCCTGTGAGCAATGGCTGCTCCAACCTGAGCATCATTACAGATCACTCACCTGAACAGCCACTGGTGAACCCTCTTAGTGCTTTGCAGTCCATCATGAACAACCACTTGGGGAAAGCTGCCAAAGTGGCCACACCCTTTGTAGACCCATTTGCAGTTCTTCATAAGATCAACAGCAGCTCTCCTCAGATCAAATCTGCTGAGTCCTCATGTCACTTCTATACTGAGGATGAAGATGATCAACCAATGGACCTGACAAAATCCAAAAACAAAAATGGAAGCACAGCAAAAGGTGCCTGTGCCACATTAAACAATAACAACATGAGCAACAACAAACTAGCTTCTCGGCCGTTCTCTCAGTCTTCATCTCCACCTCTGCGGGAAAACGCTTTAATGGACATTTCAGATATGGTGAAAAATCTGACCGGACGTTTGACGCCTAAGTCTACGACACCATCTTCCATTTCTGAAAAGTCGGACATTGATAGCTGTACTTTTGAGGATGGCCTGGAAGAACTCTCTCCCATTCAGAGACGGAAAGGCAGACAATCCAACTGGAATCCTCAACATCTTCTGATTCTTCAGGCCCAGTTTGTCTCCAGTCTTAAAGAGACGCCTGATGGAAAGTTTGTAATTAATGACTTGGGACCTCAGGAACGAGTCCGCATTTGTAAATTCACTGGTCTTTCCATGACTACTATCTCTCATTGGCTGGCCAATGTCAAATATCAGTTGAAACGGACTGGGGGCACAAAGTTCCTCAAGAACATTGACTCCGGCCAGCCCCTGTTTTTGTGTAGTGACTGTGCTTCCCAGTTTAGGACTCCTTCTTCCTATATCCACCATCTAGAGTCACATCTTGGGTTTAAACTAAAGGACCTCTCAAAGCTAAACATAGACTTGTTAGAGCAGCAAGCCGTGAGCAGAACAGAGGAGAAGACGTTCATTCCCTCTGGACTCCCAGAAGACGACACTGGCTCAGTAAATCAGTGCAAACTGTGCAGTCGGACATTTGCCAGCAAACACGCAATCAAATTGCATCTGTGCAAAACACACGGGAAGTCACCAGAGGACCATCTCATCTTTGTGAAGGAGCTGGAAAAGTTTGACAAACAGTAAAGTCAGATACAGCCGGAAGAAGGATTACTGTTGCACTATAAACTTTTAGCCACAATCTGTCATGACTGATAGTGCCACATGGGGCTGTCACTCTTACCAAAGTTTGAATATCTGTTCCAGTGCAGTGGTAGAACTTTAACTTTGAGTGTTTAAACCATGTTCAAGTACACCTGTAGTTGGTGTCTGATCAGCAGAGGGCGCTTTAAACATAGAACCTTCGAAATCCTGCTTTGCTGCTTGGGCTGACAAATACAAAGCAGATGTTTCAGCAGAATGGTCAGTCCTGTACAGCAAACGATGTTGACACTAAATTTCCCTAATGAGAAGATTTATTTCAGCTAAAAAGTTGTTCAAAACAATTTAAAAAAAGTACAGTTTCGTCATCTGAAGGCAGTTTGTTGCTCTCTCGTTTGGCACTTTGCTTAAGCAGATTCTGGCAGAACGTACGTATCTTAGTATCTATCTCTGGTGTGACCAATTCAAATAGTTCTGCCTGCCTACTATTGATACCACCGTGCCTGAGAAGTAATTTAGGTAAGTAATGTTAGACCTGCGGTAATAGTGACAGCCCTATGCCACAAATGGGTTCAACAATTTTGAATGTTTGGTAAGAGAAAAGTACCAGACTGGTGCAGCAGTCACTGGCACTATGTGATCATTGACTCATTGTTGCATCTGTAATGCACTGCATCTTTTCTGAGCCGTTGAGGAAAGAGGATCTGTCGCTATAGAACTGGACCACGCCCTTATTTCAATCACCGGATTTTTAAGACGATAGTATTTCAACACAAATTGCGTATTATTTATGGAACAGTTTGTGCATGTCTTTATGTAAAGCAGTGAGCATATTATGTCAGATAATAAAATTGGAACCTGATTGTGGAGGTGTGAAAGTTCATTAGAACACAGGAAGCACTCTCTAACGTGACGTCAGGGAACCTGACGTGGATGAAATGAAGATGTTTGGATCCAAACAACAGCACATGACCATTTATAATGATAAATATCTGTGAATATTACGGCAGTTTAAGGACCGACTATGATGTTACTTTGCGTTTGCCATCGAATCAGACACAGAATGTCTCCTAAAACGTCCAAAACCATGGTTTCTCTGGAGAAATTGAATTTCTCTGTCATTTTACCGTGTACAGTATTTGCATTAATAGGCTAACACTTTTATTAATATGAAGTTATTGTAAAAAAAAAAAGAAGTTTAAAACTTATATAAATAATCAGCAAGTATGTATAAATGTACTGTATGTGGGGATATCTTGCTCCTTACGGTTTGACATTATTTGTACTGTGTGCATTTTTCTAATGTTATTTTCTAGAACAAATGCGGGGTGGGGGGGTGTAAAAAGCTAAGCAGAGTATTGTTGGACCGTGACGCCCCATTTTTTTCAGTGAAAGGTAGGTCCTTTAATGTGGTTTACACAAAATGACACGTTACTGGCATCTGCTCTGATGCATGGTACTGTACATAACACTGAAAAAAAATCACATAATGAGATATTTCCAGGTTTTTGTCATTCACCCAGTTATTCAGATTTACTTCTTCTTCTTTTTTTTTTTCTTTTTTTTTTTGTTTCGTTGTACAATAAACATGTCCTGGATTAAACTGTGGTGTCATTTGAGTGATTGTGGGAGAATGTTTGGGTATTTTACTGTCTACAGTTAATAAAATAACAACCACAACCATGTGGGCTGTGAACTAGTTTGTGTCAATTTTAGGGAGTGAAGGATTAAATGTCAGATTTTTGTTTTGTGCCTCTTTCTACAGTCCAGATGGATTTCCTAATAAAGGTGTCTGAAGCATCATGGAGAGTAGCATCAGTCAAAGGTAACCACAGTCTGTTGAACTCCTCACACACAGTAGAACTGCAATACTCACTGTCCTCAGCTGCCAAACAAATATAATGTACCATAACAGTGTGAAGCCCAGTTTTGAACTTACTTCTCTACCAACTTTATTAACTTTGTTACACATTTAAATCTGTAAACTTGCAAACATGTTTAGCGTTAAAAGTTAATGGATTTAAGCTGTGTGTATTTGAAATTTAAATTAGCAGCTGATGTGACAAACAATGTAAAAAATGAATGTCAGTTTAGTTAAAGATAAGCAGCAAAATCATCAGTGTCATAATCCTGTTTAAAAATATTTTGAGTCTTACATTGTCACATAAAATGGGATTTGACGTTATGGTTGAAGACAGAGCTGAGCTTTATAGTTCATGCAGTGAGACACCTGATAAAAGAGAGCGTGGCTTGTCTCTACTGAAGGTATTTAAGTCGACATGCACCCACCACACGCAGCTCTTCAACACTAGCCTCAGGCATTTTCCCCCAGAAACAATAGAGTTCCTCTTCCTCTCGGCACGCACTCCGTGGCAGGGAAGTGTTCGACGTTTTAGTAGGAAATAGAGACAAGTCTCAACTGTAATAACACTCAAATAGTATTATTATTCATGTAATGTATTATTATTGTTATTATTATTATACACAGAAAATAGTAACCAAGTTTGAATTTAACTTTATGTTTTTAGTTGTTTTGTTTTATATGTTTTGTCCAATATTTTAATCAACAGGAACATGGCCTGGGATTATTGTTATGCTTTATTTATATTGCACATACTGCAGAGCCCATAAACACAGAACTCTTTCCATATATACTTTAAACACAACAACTCATCTGTCTTGTCACTACACCATGTGCAGGTTTTCCTCACATACAAATTAATCAGGCAGCAAACGCTTTGTTTGTTCTCTCCTGACTCTTGTTTGCTTTAAAGCCAACACCAAATAAAATGTCTGCGTGTCATCAGCATTAGCAGACGAACACAGGCTCACGAGACAGCGGCGGAAATCTGCCGTTAAACAAAAGGCTGTTTATGACACGAGGCATTGTGATGCAGCTTCTGATCCATTCATTATAATTAGAAGAGACGCCTAGAGTCACAGTACAGTGTAAGCTTCTCAGCTCTGAGTACTAACATCTGTAACATCTGTGTCAGCCAGATACACATGATGGTGCAGGAAGTGTTTAAATCCTTGTGACATGCACATCATGTGTGCTCACACCAGCAGTGAATTAACACTGTCCTCTCACTGCTTGCAGGGCAAACGTCTGTAGATCAGGACTTAGTGCTGCGACACCTGGCTTTAAGGCCACGACCACATCCTAAGGTGAGCTTCTAGAAGAATCCATCCTTCATGTTATTGTGCACATTACAATATGCCAGAGGTCAAATCTTAAAGGTGGACAAGATTCAATAAATACCACAGGGTTGTGTGAACCGTGACCCGAGGCTATAAAAAGAAAACATAAAAATGCACTGTATTTTTTAATATAGTTTTTTATCAAATGCAACAGTGGAGCTGATAATGGAAATCAGTGTAGGGTAAATCGTGGCTGATATAGTTTTAAATGTAAGCTAATTTTAAACAATGTGGGGTTTAAAAGTCCAGTTTATATTAGATAAAATGTTGACAAAATATCATAAATTTAAAATTATGTGACTAAAAAGAGTGCAAATGTAATTAAAGAATAAATGTAGATTGAATGTAGCCAGGAATTGTTAAATATTGTTTAAAAACAATATTAAACTATATTTTTTAAAAGACAATAATTTAGAAATAACACAAAAATGTTTTTGTTAAATTTGTGTTTAATAAATGTTAAATATTTAAAAGTGTAGCAAAAACCTAAATGAAAAACACAGAACTGCCCCTTTTCACCTGAACTCCAAGTGGAAGGGGTGGGTAATTAGTCGCACCTGTGAGCTGAGGGAGAGTGGAAGACTGTGAAGGAGAAACAGAGAGGAAAACAAACACAAAATTCAAAGTTTGTCTCTATTTTGGATTGAAAGTTTCTGGAAATCGTGTGTCCAAGTGTTTGTTGGAATATTTAACTGTGGGAAACTAAAAAAAACAACAAAAACAAACTGTAAACTTAATCTCTGGAACAGGAATGACAGAAGCTTTTTGGCCTGTTTTCACTTCGCTTGGATTGAGTGGCTGCTCTTCTCTGGTGGACGACACACAGACACAAGTAAAAGGTAAGTTCTCTTTTTCTGAATCTACTAAATGTTGAGTTGATGAGTTTGTGGTAACAGGGTTGGGATTGTTTCATATATATCTGTATATGTGCTTGTGAGGATTGTCAAATTCAGATGTGATGTGTGTGAGATTCAGTGTGCTAAATGACAACAAAAGGTTCACTAGACTTACCCAGGAAAAATGTAGCAGTAAGCTACAAATTGGCATAAAGCATAACTTATTGAGAAAGAACAAATATATGTCAACAAAAACAAGACAGTATTGGTATAATTATCATCTATGAGCCCTATTTAAACCATGTCAACAGACATGTTGTCTCTAACAGTGACATATGAGTCCAACTTATTATTAACATAAAATAAAACGTTCCTCTTAACGATGTTTTACCTGTGACGGCGTCAAGCGTTAGACCTGTCAAAAGTGAAAGGCTCCAAAAACAAATATACCTGAGGTGACAGACTCATTCATTTCTGATGACAGCACAACAGTATTGCAGCGTACTTTTTTGTCAAAGCATTACACCTCCATGTCAGGGCTTTGACGTGAAGCTTGAAGGTTTAAAATCACCCGAGGCGTCTCGTCATGGACAGAGAGTTCAAACTGATTTGCTTGTTGACACGTTTGTCCCAGTTGAGATCCGAGCAGCAGCAAGAATCTGTGGTGTAAAGTGTTGTGTACCTGTCAGTGTTGAGCCTTGTTTTTGGAAGATACAGACGACATAATTCATCAGGCCGAGGGGAAAGGCTCTTGAAGAATGGAGAAGTGACAAAGTCGATTCTTTTGAGAGTAATGTCGGCTGCCAACTTGCTGAATGGATGGAGTGTCTTTTGAGGATCCATCAAAGCCTTTCCTGGTGGCAGTGAAGCCCACAGGTGTGAGCGGCTCGGCTGTCATTATTGTGTCAAAGTATGTTGAAAGACGCAGATATTTACATTTGGAATTTTCAGGTTTGGTGATTTCTGTCAGGCGAAAAAACTTGCTCATGCAAGTTAATGGTTCTCAAAATATGGTTCACATATCACTGGTGGTACTTGTGCTCTGTGTAGTGATAGTTGGGGGAATTTGGGTGAGGTCAGTTAAAGCTTAGTTGTTACTTATTACAACTTGAATATTCCTATTTGATTTGCAGTGAAATGATCCCCTGTTCTAAAGTGACCCGTGGTGAATCAGAGAACCTTCAAAAACAAACACTGGGCTTGTGTTCAGGTCCAGACCACTGAAAACTCTTGCACAGTCATTGCTTATAATAGATTAGCTGCGGGTGCAGCAGCCTGTATCCTCAACAATGCTTGATCCCAGCCTGGATACATCGGAGGTTGGAGTCAGGAGGAGCAAGAGGTCAAAAGGTCAAAAGAGGCCAAATCCCTGTGGATTATTTTTGGAGAGCTTCCTTTAGACCTCTAATATAATCAATTATGAAGATGACTTCAAGTTTTACATTTTAACAGAATTCACACTAATTTAAAAAAAATTTTACATTTTAACAGAATTCACACTAATGGGAAGTTTAAAAAAAAAATCAGCAGTTGATTTGTTGTTTTTAAAAAATGTCTGCCATTCATTGTCATGTCTTGAAAAGTTGGTTGATTTGTTCGTAGCTATTGAATCAAAAATATTTTGGGTGCCTGGGCTGAATCGTTCTTTTTTTGGATCCAGTGTCTTAAATTAGCTCTGTGGTAATTCGGTAGAACTTGTACTTGTTTATTTACATTAGTATTAGTGGTAATATGGTGTAAACTGGGGCAGCAGACTGTGTGTTTCTGTGTGGTTAATAACAGTCTGTGTGTGTTTCTATTGGAGTCTGGATGTGTGCTTTTTAGGACCTAAGAAAAGGTAAATAGGTTACACTGGTGCTGCTGTGGTACCTATCGCAAATTCCTCATTATTTTGAACTATTTCTGGTTTTGGTTGCCAGGTTTGAATGTCAAATGTCGTATTCATTTCATCTTCAGCTGTGCAAGAAACCACTGTCATGTGGTTGGGCTTAGACCCTTGGACAGTGTGACGAGTCTCATTCACATTCTGTCCAAACCTGACATCATTTGCATGAGAATAAGCCCAAAACTCTGCCAACGTGACACGTCCCAGACAGGGGATCACAACTTGGCTGTCATATTAGGCCGGTAAATTCAGGTGACACGGATCCTGTGTCCTCATCTGGGCCAACCTGACAGTGGTTCATGTTCCCTGCTGTCTTTTTCTGAGGGGCTTTGTGAGGGGGGGTTGCTTTTAATCAGTATGACGAACCCTGCCTGTGCACACACTCACACACACACACGTATGTGAGAGTGGGCATATGCTGAGGGGCAGTGGGCTGGCCGCTGTGCCATCATTAGTCCAAACCTACACGGCGAGCTTCTGACACATGTCGAAGGAGCTTCATTCGACCTACAGAAGGCGCATCCGCATTATGCAAAGGTAGCAGTGTCTTTATGTGCAGCACGACTGTCAGAGGCTTGAAGGAAGAACTGAGGAAGGAAGTGCTCACACTCAGGGGGAGGGAGAGAGAGAGGGAGAGAGAGAGAGCAGGCAAGAATGAGGGAGAGAGGAACAGATCCAGAGACAGAGATATAAGCTTCACATCACTGGGAGAAAAGCTGGTGTTTATTTCATCTTGGGAGGGAGAGAGATTGTTTTTTTTTTGTTGTTGTTCTTTTAACTTAATGAATCAAATGATATTTTCTCTAAGATTTCAAACAGACAAATTTCCCTAATTACATTTCAGTTAATGTAAGAAAATACAAACAGGTCATAACTGCGTTTGTATCCACGTCCAAAATGTTTTTTTCCTTTCTCCGTCTCGACATCAAGCTCCATATCTTGGAGCGTCTTTGTGCTGCAGAAGTGGCGTTTTTATCACAGCTGTAGTATTTTCTTTTATTTTTTCCACCTGTGCCCTGTGGCATTCTGATGACTCACTCTGAATTGGACTGTGTTCAAGGCAGAGGCACAGCGGGACAAGTGTCAGTAATGATCAAGTGCTGCTGCTCTGCAGCGGTGGTGTCATCCACTGTGTGACACCTGCCTGCACCGCACACAACGCTCTGTTTATGTGCTGTTTGGTGGCTCTACTGCAGAGCCGTCCTGGGTTTTTTATCAACAGCAGCCAGATTCAATAATGTAAAAATATCCAGGGGCCAACTGATCCTTTTGGTGATGCTTGAGACTATAAATATGTTACACACCTATACTGTCCATGTTAATGCGTTGATTTGGTTTTGTGTGTTTGGTAAATAGGCAACGAATCCCTACAACCAACTTAATGACACAGTAATAATAAATTATGCATAATGTGATGTAACTTCAGGGGCTTTGTTGGCATCAGTCGTCACTAAAATATTTCTTAACACCAAAATTAGCTACTGTAATAATTTAAATATGTGTATATATAAACATAGACATATAGTGAAAAAAATTAGCTACTGTAATAATTTAAATATCTGTATATATAAACATAGACATAGTGAAAGTGAAGTAAAACACAGCTATATATATGTACATATATATTTACATGCATACTCTATATTAATATGTGCATATATAAATATATATTTATACGTGTATATCTAGCTGATGTAAATAAAACACATAACTGTCATGAAATATATATGTGTATATATATATATATATAATTTAGCATCCAAAAGCTAATAATATACTAAAACAGGACAATGACTTGTTTCAGGACGTTTGCCCTTGACATGAAGCATAACAAAAACGCCTTGAATATAGATTAGCTATAATTACGAGAAATTATCTAAAATAACTAAAGGGAAAACAATTATATCCAACATAATCTAAATAAGGTTAAGATGATAATTTACAAAAGATAATTTAATATTAAGGTAAATATTGAAGAAACAGAAATATTAGCGACTTTCAATAAACAGTTTTCAGGCCACAGTGACTCCATCAGTGTGTAGTCTATCTGGGTTTCATTTAATTCTACAGTATATTCTTTATATAGACGCTACACAGCTTAAACTTTAATGTTTTGTAGAAGGAAATGGGTTCATTGTAGTCAGGGGAATTAATTTAATTTGGTTAATAGTCCAAGACACAGTGTTTGGTTCATTTTAAATACTCTGTCACTGTGAACCTCAGCTAACAGAACCCAATCTTTATAGAATTAAAAACCTAGTCCTAATTAATTGTCTTACTGTGATTCGATTCATTATTGTCAGTTATTGTGGTTAAATTATACCGTAAACAGAAACTTTAACCCTGCGTAGCACGTGATAATAACACTGATGGTAATAATGTAACATTCTCCCAAAGACCTGTACATGTGCAGTTTGGAATAAAACTCCAAGCTCAGTACCAATTAGGCCTGTTACCCGTCATTATGTCAAAGTCAAACCCACATCTGCCCGCCAAAATCAGACCTAAGATACACACACACACACACACATAGACAGTCCTGCCTCCAAAATTATGTTTTTCCTGACAATTTGGCATATTTTGATAGTCTGCAGTAGATGGTGGCTGGATCAGGGAGAAGCTGCTCAGCATCTACACGTCCTCCTCGGGCTTCCATGTCAATTAGTCCCCAAAAAACTCCCCAAAATCCATCTCCACACAAAGTCTGGAATGATCTAAAATTTCAGACTCACAAACTTCACCACTAACTGTCCAGGATTTGGAGAAGAAACTGTTGATTATGGCAGCTCCAGTGTTTCTACAGCTGTCACTGTGCTTCATGAATGACAACGTGCTAGATTTAGAACAGCCGTGGCTAATACTTTCTGACATAATTTCTCACAGTCCTTGATGAAGCTACATGAAGACCAAACATTTGATTTTTTTTTTCAAGACTTGTTTCCAAAGGTTGATCACACTAACGCGTCATGTCGGCTACAGTCATACTTAAACTTTAGTCTGACATAGAATTCATCACTTTAATGACGGGAGTGTTACCTGATAATACTGTGAAAATCAGGTTTATATTTCTTTTTTTTTTCAACTTTTTTTATTGTTATTCTCACTGCTACCAGTCTAC